ATCATTCTCAAAACATTTGTTCTCCACTTAAGCCCTTGGTATCAGCTCCTCATTTCCCCCCTCCCTCCCCTTACCCCCCTCCCTATGAACCTTTGATAATTTATAAAATATTACTATTTGGTCATATCTTACACTGTCCAATGTCTCCCTTCACCCAGTTTTTCTGTTGTCTATCCCCCAGGGAGCAGGTTATATGTAGATCCTTGTAATCGGTTCCCCCTTCTACCCCACCTTCCCTCCACCCTCCTGGTATCACCACCCTCAGGACTGGTCCTGAAGGGATCATCTGTCCTGGATTCCCTGTGTTTCCGGTTCCTATCTGTACCATAAAAGAATTCTTTCTTCCTTCGGAATGGCGTGGAGGAAGTGGATAGGCCGCAGGGAATGCATGGTGCCTGCATTGACTGGAACCATTCTTGCTACCATCACAGAAGACGTCCTGGAGAGAAAATCAACAAGAAGGGAGGCAAGCTTGAGAAACAACAGGAAGATGTTGAAGGGTTTTGATCAGCGGACTGATTGATTTGCATCTACTGTATTGACGATCACTTTGTGGTTTGGAAGAGAGTAAGACTGTTTTCAAGAAATCAGAAGGCATTTGGAAGAGTCTGGCATTGAATGTTCTGTACTGTGTGGTAGCAGTAGAAATACAGACAAGAAGAAAAAAGAAAGAAATACAGAGAAGAAAATTGATTTGAAAGATATTGTGGACATAGACCTAAGAGGATATTAATAGATACGGGGAGTGAAAAACTACTGTACTATGTTATACGGACAAAACTGCACTGAAAGAGCACTATTGAAGAGAGAAGGCACATAAATAATGTGATAGTATATGAATGAGCTATATATCTTAGGGATGGTCCAACAATCTGCCAATCTTCCCACATTTCCTAGCTACTTTCTCAGTCTGCCAAGGTACAATTCTACCAAGGTACACCTCGGCCTATACTGAAGATTGTTCTTGATCTTGTTTCTCAGACCAACTTAGCTCCTGACCATCCTAACTAATCTTTTGCAGAACCAATGTGGAACCAAAAGTCCCCATTAAAGCATTTTCACCACTCCCACCCCCCGGAATCTTGCTCTAAGATGTGCTTTGCAGGGGTTCCTGGGGTCAGGGGTCCGTCCCTCCTGTGGCTGGTCTTTACGTCAGATACAACCAATTCACTTCCAGCCAATTTTTGTTAAAGCAGCTTCTTTCAAACAGAAAGCCCGTGTAAGTGGGATTCTCTTGGGTAGAGCCCCAGGCTACTCCTATTTGTGGGGTGCATATACGACTCTCAAGAAAAAGGAAAAATTGTTTTCCTTTGTTCAGTTTAATTCCAATCCTGCATGCTTCTCTATTACCACAGGCTGCTCTTGCCAGCCTCCTTCCTGTAATTATCTTCAGGGGTAAATTACAAACCAGTCCACCAATGCGGTAACCATACCTCTTTCCATAAACTAAAATAAACTCTGAATGGATCAAAGATCTAAATGGAGAAAGAAAAAAATGGATCCATTCAAATAGTAGAAAAGAACATAGATTAATTGCTTTATAATTCGGTTGTAGGGAATGACTTTTTTTTTT